GCCGTCCTGGAAAAGAAAAAAGAAAATGTAAGTGCATGTCGAAAATACACTCGTATGTGCGTAAAAACACAATGTCGGCGGAAAAAAAAGGAAAATAAACTCATGAACACGTAATAGCGTTAAAAAAGAATTGTTTTTTTTGTTTTTTTTAAATAGAAATAAAAATATATAAGCATATTAAAATTGTTTTTTTTTGAAAAAAATAATATAAAATGTCGAGAAGTGCCTTACGTGCAATAGTCGTTTAAATGTTCTGGAAATCTTACTCTTCTTCCAGAACGCGTCGTTTTAGGTTTATTTTCAGATACATGCGGAGTATCGTGTGTGTTGGTTGTTGGATGAGGTATTATAAGTGTCGGAGTCGTGTCGTTTGATTGTACCGAAGGAAAATCCACGTAGATAGGATTTCCTTCTAAATACGCTGCTTTTAAGCGATCGATGCTGATGCTATCGTTGGTTCCGTTCTTATCGACTATATAGTTCTTAGATTCACGTTGAAGAACTTTGAAGGGTCCTTCGTATGCTGATTCGAATGGTCGTCGATGCGAGTCTCGACGAACGAAAACGTGTGTACTATATCGTAAGTCAGGTTGAACGAAAACATCAGTTGATTGAGGTCGAGTGGAAGCAGGTTTAACTGAACGCATTGCGTTTGTAAGCCTGTTCGTGTAGGAGGTTAGATCCATGTTCATTGAAGAGGATGAAGGATCCACGAATTCTCCTGGAAGTCGAAGTGTTGTTCCATAAACGAGTTGAGCTGCAGTGTATCCAATGTCAGCTTTCACTGCATTGCGGATACCTAGTAAGACGAGTGGAAGAGCGTCAGTCCACTGTGAAACGTTTGCAGCTGATAGCGAAGCTTTCAGTTGTCGGTGAAAACGTTCTACCAACCCGTTTGCTTGTGGATGGTAGGCGGTCGTTCGGAAGCGAGTGATTCCTAAAAGTGTGGTCAGACGACGGAAAAGATCGGATTCAAACTGACGTCCGCGGTCTGTAGTGATAGTTGAAGGGCAACCGAAGTTTGCTACCCATCGTTCGACGAAGGTGCGGGCCACTGTTTCAGCAGTGATGTCCTTGATAGGTACTGCTTCTGGCCATCGAGTGAAACGGTCTACGCAGGTTAAGAGGTAAGAGTATCCATTTGAGTCTGGTAAAGGTCCTACCAAATCCAGATGAACATGGTCGAAACGAGCATCGGGAGTCATGAAAGAGCCTAGGTGACATTTATTGTGTCTGATGACCTTAGATTTTTGTAAGCTTACACAGGAGCGTGCACACTCCCTCACGTCTTTATTCATTCCAGGCCAGCAAAACCGTTCTGCTATAAGCTCGATGGTTGCACGAACACCTGGATGCGAAAGTTTGTGCAATGTGTTGAAGACATTGCGTCGATAATGTTTCGGCACGATTGGGCGATCCCTACCTGTATATGTGTCACAAAGTAAGGTTTCATTACCTGTTCCAGCTGTTTGATGCGTAGTTTAAGTGTTGTGGACGATAACTCGTGCTGAAGATCACTGTCTTCTTCTTGAAGCTGGGCGAGTTTAAGAAGGTCGATTCCTTGGAAACTGTTCAAGGAAGTTATGCGAGATAAAGCGTCTGCAACTACATTGTTTGCTCCAGAGATGTGTTGGATGTCTGAAGTAAACTGCGAAATGTAGTCCAGTTGTCGAGACTCACGGGGAGAGTACTTGTCAGAAGGAGAGCTTAACGAGAAAGTGAGCGGTTTCTGGTCCGTGAAAAGAGTGAATTCATGACCTTCGATGTAGTGTTGAAAATGTCGTGCAGCACAATACATAGCTAGGAGTTCCCTACCGTATGTGCTGTACCTCGATTCGGTGTCTAGCAACCTTCTAGAGAAAAATGCCAAGGGTTGCCAGGAGTTGTTAACCCATTGTTGTAAGACTCCTCTGATTGCCGAGTCGGATGCGTCTACTGCGATGCTAATGGGTGCTCGGGTGTCCTGATGTGCGAGCATTGTTGCTTTAGCAATCAGTTCCTTAACTGTGGAGAATGCTTTTCGTGCGTTGTCGTCCAAATTAATGGATTTCGCATTTCCACGAAGTTGGTCGGTCAGAGGTTTCATAAGTAATGCGCATTTCGGTATGAAACGTCTATAGAAACTTACGAGGCCGTTAAACGTGCGTAATTGCTTGACGGTGGTCGGTTCTGGGTAATCCAGAATGGCCGCCACTTTGGTCCTAAGAGGTCGAATGCCTTGAGCATCGATAGTGTGTCCTAGGAAGTCTAACGAGTCGGTTCCGAATTGACATTTCTGAACGTTTACAGTAATGCCATGTTTTTGTAGTCGTTCGAAAACAAGATCCAGATGCTTGAGATGTGATTCTCTGTCCGGACTTGCGATTAGACAGTCATCAACATACGCGTGTACGAAGTTGAGACCTCGAAAAACGTCGTCTATGAATCTTTGGAATGTTTGAGCAGCATTCCTTAGACCGAAAGGCATACGCAAAAATTCATAGAGTCCGAAAGGAGTTATGATAGCTGTTTTCGGTATGTCGTCAGTAGCCATAGGGATTTGGTTATACGCTTTAACCAAGTCGATTTTTGAAAACATAGTTGTACCTTTCAAGGTAGCTGTCAAATCGTGAATGTGAGGCAACGGGTAACGATCGGGAATGGTTTTCGCGTTCAATCGCCGATAGTCACCAGTTGGACGCCAATCGTTGCTGTCCTTTTTAGGGACCATATGCAACGGAGATGCATATGGGCTACTTCACGGTCGTATGATCCCTAAGTCTATCATATGGTTCAACCCGTTTTTCGCTAACCTTAGCTTTTCGGGGGCTAGTCGTCGTGCTTTAGAGAATACAGGTGGTCCTGTAGTCGTGATGTGATGTGTAACATTGCTGGTTACACACGGTAGTTTCGGTTGAGTTTGTTGTATCCCAGGGTACTTATCGAGTAGTGGTTGATAGAGTGGGTCTATCATATGTTTAACTGTGACTGGGGATACTCTACAACCAGTAAAGGAAGTTATGCAAACGGACAAATTAGTGTTTCCGTCTACTAGCCTCCGTTTGCGAGTGTCGATGATCAGATTGTGGTGTTGTAGAAGGTCCATACCAATGATTGGCATAGAAACATCTGCAACAACGAAAATCCAGTGAATGGGTTTGCGTAAACCACGTTCAGGTAAACGTACCTTTTGCCATACGTAGCGATCGGTTTTCCGTTTGCCGCCTGTAAATTTAGGGTCGATTCGTGAAGTCGGTCGTTAGGATTCGCTGGGAGAACGCTAACTTCTGTGCCAGTGTCGACGAGGTAGCGAACTCTCGTTGTCACATCTGTGACGTATAACAAACGGCTATGTTCGCCGGCTACGGTTGCCGTTAACGCGTGCCGGCTTGGAAGTTTCCCGAGTTGTTTTTCGAATCCGTCGGTTTCGTGTTGGGAAAATTGCAGGGTTTTCTGCAATTTCTGGAAAGCTTTCCATACTGGTTATGATACCAGCACCAGTCTGGGTTATCTGTCTCTCGTGGTCTAGAGACAGATCGCTTACGAGAACTGCTTCTACTTGGTGTGCGCGATCTCTTACGGTCGGTACGAAGACTAAGATAACGCGTGAGTGTGTGACATAAGTCGGTTATATCATTCTGAGTCGTGTGAGGCTTTTCTTTGACTGAGAATACCTCGGTAGTAGAAGGTTTCGTAATTTCTAAAATGCGGTCGGCAGATGCAGCTAGCTTGTCTAAGGCGTTGTTCTGGAACGAGACCAGAACTGCTTGCACCTGTTGGGGAAGTTTTGACAAGAAGAGTTGTTTGAATAGACCTTCGTCGAAAGTTCTTGGGCCTATTACCTCTCTCATCCGTTGCAACATGTCCGTCGCAGAACCGTGTTGCAGGTCGATGTTATTGAAGAGTTGATCTAACCTTTGTCGATCGGTTAGGTCTCCTCGTTTAAGAATCGAGCGTTTTAAGATTTCGTAAGGATCGGAAACATCACTAGTAAACATACTAGGTGTTACGTACCTGTTGAATTCGCGCGGTAGTGCCTTGACTACTGCGAGGAATTGTGCACGTGTGTCGATCACGCCGTGCTCGGAGAAGTCGGCTTCTGCGTAGCAAAACCAGGCTTCGATGTTGTCGGGCCAGAAAGGCATCAGTTGATGCTTTGAAGACTGTAAAACACAGAGGACGTAATTACAGAAATATGTTAGTTAAAGTAGATAAAAGCGAAAGCGAGACCACTGCCGCATGGGCCAGTCCACGGTACACGATTAACTGATGCGCGTTGGTTGTCACTGACCTTGACGAGGATCGATGATTTGCTCGATTTCCAATGACCCAACTACCGGATGATTTGGTTAGGACTTAGTAACATTTCGCTCGCCCTACAATAAAAATCCTTGGTGAGAACTAAGTTTGAAAACTGGGTTCAGGTTGCAAGCTATTTTTTAAGAGGTGGCCCGGATATACTGTAAAATGTACAGATTGCAGCTACTCGTGCAAGTTTCCAGAACTCCGGGGTTTACCATATAAAGAACGGCTTGAAAAGTTAGACCTCTCTACTCTGTTTTATCGCAGATTAAGAGGTGATCGGATTTTGATGTATAGAATTCTAAAGATTATTTTGGGCCTAACATCTCCCCTCTTTTTTTCCACATTAAATCGGGACATTTCAGAGGACATAGCAGGCGAGTAGAAAAGTCTAGAATGAATAAAATACCCGTGGCTTACAGGTATTCTCGACGAGTCATCAATTCTTGAAACCAGTTACCTGACTCATTCAAGAGAATACCAGACATTCACAGAAGCATGCTGGAAAAGGAATAACATAGGCCGTAGGTTTTCTGTCTTTAATACACAAATGTGAATCTGAAATCCGATTGATCGTCCTCAGGGATCATGTCACTGAAAACCAATACCACTGCAGAACATGTAAAAAATTGTACACAACATACACCTAGAATCGTAATTAAGCAACTATAAGACATTAGAAAGAAATTATTTGGTTCACAATAGTTCGTCACAAAGATATTGGGCATTGAATCGTTGTCGACTAGATTAACGCTACTCATGCTTCGTGTAAATACCCAATTGTTTTTTCTACTGTCTGTATCTGAGTCGTTTAAGGTAGATTCTGAACGTGTGTTTTTCTCCTAAATGCTAACTTTTAGACGGTTCTACGATTGCGTTTTGTTAATTTTCCATTTCTTTTGTGAAGATCCATTGATCATTCCTTAAAGATATTTAGAGAACGAGGAATTTCCTCTTTTTGTCGCTCTGTGTTTAACATATGTTACAAGTATTATTTCCATAACAAACTACTTGACGACTACAGTTGGCAACATCAGAAAATGGTACATATTTAAAGAATTGTGATAGTAGACAGATGTTTGAGCAACGATCGTTATGCTAAGTCCCAGTCTTTTAATTTCGAGGAAGCCGCTTTGAAAAATTGTAGAGGAAAAAGCACAAAAAACCCAAAAGTTTCCCCAGATCTGGGGAGATCTCCAAAATTTCGGAGAAAACCCCAAAATAATGAGATTGGAGTCCCATTGTAGTTCATGATGACCTGCGAAAGAAATTAAGGGGTATGGGTTATTAGGTCAGGTCTTTTCTTGGGCACTTCGCTACGATCAATTGCTGCGTTTCATAGGACTGATCTTCATCGTTTCTATCATTGGTGGGTACACAACACTGGATAGCATTCATCATGATCCTTTTCTTTGTTTTGAAGGATTCTTTGATGGTTCTGTATCCGTGAGATTCCCGCCCAATAAGTGCATTTTGCGCTTCTTTGGACAGCATCAGAACGACTCTTTGAGTGTGTGGAGCACTTGCCTCTTCGTGACCGGAGTACAGCGGCAATTCTCTTGAATCCAATCTTTTCTGCCTAGCTTGGGTACAATCAATTTCACTGGTTGGGATGGTGTTGCCGACTCTATGCTCAATCTTCCTCCTTTATTCGGGCTTGTGATTGTCAGTAACTCTAGAAGAGCTATAGGCGTTGCAAAAATGTAATATTTCTATAACCTCGTCTGTATGCAGTCTCGGACAATCCAAATCCAACCACTAGTTCAGGTTACATTACTTAGGAAATGATATTTTTTAACGAACCCTTATGAGTTATCATTCAATAATCTGATGGCTCCAATGACTCGAAAGAGTAGTTAAATCTATCTTACTATTCCCGGGAAAGAACATTCTAATATCCTGGACTGGTCTGCAGTCGCATATAAAAACCACAATTATGACGAACTCAAGTCAACTTCCTTGAATTTTTTGTTTTGGTGGTTTTGAAATTCTTTCACACACTGACCTTATTACACATCACACACTTATGCCAATTCATTTACAATTTTTTCAATACCTCTCCTCATTATGATCATAATTTTATGGTAACATTTCAATACAAGTTATTTAGTATATATTTTACTCTTAGACGACCTCCCATCTATAAATTTAGTCTGACCATTGAATATACAAACTATTGTGATTTAGTGAATTCGACTTATCTAAGATAGGTTGGATAAACGAAGCATACAACCTGGATGCTATTGTCCTTGTAAATTGTGGTTCCGAAAAAAGTTTCTTAAGACTAAGCCTTATTGTTCATCCTTTCTCACTGACCTCGTTAGCTCTTCATTCTTTCCTTTTATATCATTCGTAACTATTAGCTTCTACAATTGGTTTTAGCTACTTAGTAAACAGTAGATTTTGTCTTTATACACCTTTATGTAAGTACTACTCCTAAACCTTTGTTTAGCTCATAGATTACATCATTTTCCCCTACTTTGTTTACTTATTGTTTCACCACATTAAAAAAAATCAACATGCATTTCTAACTGTATCTTCCATTTAACTACTTGTAACAACGGTCATGTGGTGTGAATTTAAATCTGTCATTATCATTCTTTGATGAAGGTACTGATCTTGGTTGTGTATACACGTTTTCAAAAATGAACGTTCTTAACTACCTTATTGTCCATTTTCCTAAAATGCTCATAACTTGGGACCAAGAAATCCTTCTAAATATATTGTCAAGATGAACTCTACAAAGATTGTAGTCATTGTGACCTGACTTTCTTGGGAACTTTGGCTTATGCGTCTGTTTGTGTAAGCTTTTCATCAACTCTTCTTTTTTATACTCCAGAGAAAATAAACTGAACAGAAAAGTATCACTTTGAATCAATTTTTTATTATGCCTATACACTCGTATCTGTGTTGATTGTACAATCATGTGTACTAAGTAGTCAGTGATTGTGCTTTTTCGAACTTGCTTTAGTTTATACACCAATGATTCATGATACTGCTGCTAATAATTCTAAAGAATCAGGAATAACTACAGGAACCTCAGTAGGTTTTAAACTTTTACTGCGTTATGAAATAATATTCAGATTCCTTCTCATGAAAACCGACCTGGTAACAATTCTTTACCATCATATCGCAGCGGAGATTTCTCTAGAACAATGAAACGAAAAGCATCTCGAATCAGTCATCATAAAGCTAAACGTGAAATGAGAAACGCACCATGGACGCCCGGTGATGATTATTTATTGATAAATTCCGTTGTCATGGTAAGTTAAATATTTTGTTGGTTAAGACAACTAGCTGCCTAAACGAAGTGTAGACTACTTCCCTATTTTATTGTTCACAAGTGCTTTTAAAATCAGTTCTTTTTGAGTTACTTTAAATATTACTAAAAGTAGAATATAGATCAGCCATTCGTTCATAGACACACTAGGAGCTGGAATAAATATATTTTCGTTGTAGTTGACGTACTGTTTTGTATAGTCAGAATTTCGACCCAAAATAATCTATTATTTCTGACCATATATATTTTATAGAAACCTCATTTGCATTATGTATGGGCTTATATACTGGACTTTGAGTTATACCTTCCCAATAATGCTAACGGCTGTCCGAAGCATAGTATGTGTAGCAGGTTCCGATTATTTTATTATTATTATTTGAACACAGATATTGATACAAGGAGACACCATATATATATGCACCACAATCATTTCGTTTTATTTGTGTGAGGGCTGAGATACTACCCGGTCGCCCAAGCCGAAGCAGGTGGTTTTCTTAGGGGGTCAGTTTTAGAGCCCTCGACCTAAAGGTTTAATCCACAAGGCAGTGAAGCAACGTCAGGAGATACAGTCCCATGGTAGCCGCTGACCAATAATTTGTTCATACGCCATTTGTTCCCCCAGGATCCTGGAGCCCACGTGACAATTGGTTTGGAATCAGGGTTTTCCAACTCCCCTCCGTATCCATTATCCCTGTTATGACACCGGACATTAGCTTTTCTTCGTTCCAATTTCGTAAACAACACCCCCCTCCACGAGAAGGCAGTGAGTAGGTTCCGAACCTTCAACTTGTTAGTTAAAAGTCAAGTTCTCTAACTAATAACCCATCATTTTTAAAAAAATGAATAAATCTAACATGTTGACATAGATCCGTAACTCAAAAGTCTTAGCCTTCAACTCTCAGTTATCAAATTTCAGATTTGAAGTGACCTCATCTTCGTTTTGGTCTGGTCACTAGCTGTCGCATACAGAATTGCACTTAATATCTAAGTTGTATCGAATCAATAAATGTTTAAATGAACATTCGATTATTATTCAGTTAGTGTGTAAGGAACTGTTATTCAAGTTTATTGTGACAAGTTAGCAAAGTGTATTGTTTTTTTAAGCAGTCATCTCCCAATCATGTTTTATAACATAAATATTTCAAATAAATATCTTGCACATAGGTATGTAACCTTACAGAAGTGTGTCACACTGTAAGATTCGCTGTTCATTTTACGGAGAAAGAAATTGAACGTCGTTGGCGTGATTTATTATTCGACCCAATCGTATCTAGGTAAGCCGATCAAAAACGTTATTTTGACTACTTTTGTATGTTAGTAAGTAGTTAATTATGCGAAACATATTTCTGTTGAAAATCACTGAGTTTATGGGATGTTTTGTAAAACAGTACCCCGTTTAAAATCGATATGTGACTGTTACAGCCTTTCAGTTAAACCATTCACCGCTAAACCCTTTCAACTAAAACTATAGTAGTCAGCTCATTAGTTACTTCAAGTTGTTCCGGAAGTAGTAGTAAGAATTCGTAACTGGTGGAATTTAGAAGTGTCAGGGTTGAAACGGTTGTCACTTGTGTCGTTGTATGGTTGTCAACGTATATCGCAAATTGAGTGGATTCGAAATTGTCGATTCACTGGTTCTGACAGTTATGCGTTTCATGCAATTGGTTCCCTTTATGAATTTAAATAGGGCAAGAACAAACGTTGATGCAGAATAGAATGAATTCATAATATTTCGAGGTTTCTCGTCAGCTGCTTACAAAACAAAAATGTTATGGAATTTTTTACATTTTTTACATGTCAGTTGTTTCATACTATCAATGTAAAAAATTCTATAACATTTTTGGTTTGTAAGCAGCTGACGAGAAACCTCGAAATAATATGAATTCATATTATTCTGCATCAATGTTTGTTCTTGCTCTATTTAAGTTATGCGTTCGCCGCGAAACATGAAGGTTTTTGGTTCGGCCTCTGGTGTGATGTAGACTGTTATTGTTCTATACTAGGACAAAACAGCTGTATAGTCATCCCTGATTTTCAGCGGTACCCGAAATTAAATCAATCTGTGACAAATAGAACCTACGAATGTTGTGTTTGTTAGAGTACATGAATGTTAACATTCTTCGAAGAATGCTATTTTTAGTAATAAATTTATTTAAACACGTAAAGATTAGTACAAAGGGATACCAAATTACTTGTGCGCCACAATAAAAATGAGATTGTGAAGGGGTTAGAAAAGGAAGGTGAGCTTAATTATAGAAAAAGAACAAAAATGAATTAGTGTATAAGTGAAAATTAGTAATAACTAACAATAATAATAATAATAATAATAATAATAATAATAATAATAATAATCGGCAAGACTGTTTTAGGAGTTCTCCTAACACATGCGAAAAATGTAGAAAGTTAGCCATTGGCTTTTATTGTGAATCATGCATGATAGCGTCTCAAATCACTGTGTCGCATCATCTCTATGACCCCAACCAGGGAGTCGTGAAGGACCAACAGAAGCCAGTCATGTACAGCTTTCTTTCATGCTACGACATGTCATGCACTGACCACCTCTCCGCTTTTTCCAATCGTTCTTAGCGTCGGGAAAGAATGCGCGATGTGAAATTCTCTGGGACGACATTCATAGTACATGTCCGAGTAACCGAACTCGTTGTTTCAAGATGATGACATCGATTGAATTATCGTCGCTGTGCCCTAACACGATTCCGAACCTCTGCGTTACTAACATGGTGTTGCCACTAGAAATCAGCAATCCTTCAGAATATTATTTATTTATTTGAACACATAAATATTGGCACAAACAGGTGCCATATACATATGCATCACACAATCATTTCGTTTTATTTGTATGAGGGCTGGGGTACTGCCCGGTCGCCCAAGCCGAAGCAGGTGGTTTTCTTAGGGGGTCAGTTTTAGAGCCTTCGACCTAAAGGTTTAATCCACAAGGCAGTGAAGCAACGTCAGGAGATACAGTCCCATGGTAGCCGCTGACCAATAATTTGTTCATACGCCATTTGTTCCCCCAGGATCCTGGAGCCCACGTGACAATTGGTTTGGAATCAGGGTTTTCCAACTCCCCTCCGTATCCATTATCCCTGTTATGGCACCGGACATTAGCTTTTCGTCGTCTCAATTCCGTACAGAACACCTCTGCCCCAAGAGGGCAGTCCGTGGGTCAGTAACAACGTAAACTTCGTACGTACATACATAAGTATTTTCTTCTTCGTGACCAGAGTACAGTAGCACCTCTCCCGTATATAGCTTTAGCTGTCCAGCTTGGGTCCAATGGGTTTCGCTGATTCCGAGTACCACCAACTTGTATCTCCTTTCCGTTACTATTTGACTGGTCTTCTCGTTCTACCTCATTGTCGGGACGTTCCACGTACCCATAAAAGTTGTTGCTCTGGTTGTTAGAAGGGGCTAACAAGAAAAAATAATTCAAACTATTTAAACTAAGTGTCATAGTTTCACAGAAATTAATCCATTTCTGTTTCTTTATTCAAATAAGCTTTAGTCAAACTTGTAATGTTTTTATATACCCACCTCTGTCTCTATCTCTCCTTCTACCCACCTTCTTTTAGCACTGCGCTGAAAGCAATCGAGCGCCTTCCTTCGTTTATGAAATCCCAATTAGATAGACAAATACCATTCAGTTCACAAGAGGATAATATTATAGCTCAAATTTCTTTCTCCGATGTCTATCCAGACGGTGTGTTCAAATCGCTTAATATACATAGTCTGGTAAGTATTGATTTGTTGTGATAGTATAAGTTTCTTGTTTCTTTGTTTTTTCTCATGGATAGTACTATGAAAAGTTGTGTATATGACATAGCTACAGTTGTAAAATATCACTAATTTATTAAGTTATTTAGTGATGAGTTCACTGGACTCGGTAGGTAAGTGAATAACTCATTGGGCGTTTGAAGCGAAAGGTACTGGGTTCGAGCTCCAGAAAAAACACTAAATCTAGGATGTAGGTTCATCCAGCTGACAAGTTTCAAATAGTATAAAACGTTCGTCTTAGATTCCACTAGTAGTCATAATTTATCTGTGCTTTGAAATACTTTTCGTGTTATTGTTATAGAGTTCGTGTGAAGTTATAGTCCTAAAAGTATAAAATCTTCTCTTTAATACTTCGACTTATTATAATTAGTAGTAGTACGAAAAGAGGGAAAAATACAACACGTGCATATACCTACGGAGCAACAATTTCTGAAAAATCGCACTAAATAAATAATAATGAATAAACATTGAGCCTGTGAAAAGAGACTCCTGAACTAATAATTAGCTAATAACAGTCAGATGAATTTCACGCTGCTTTGTAACCGGGCTCACCCAAGTTTTTTAATGTTTAAAGAGAGAAATGCGAACTTATTAGCTTAATTATGAATGATAACGGTGTGTACACAGTATCTAAAATCTTGATGAAAGTGTCATCAAAGCCCGATGGATGTAAACTTGGTATCGTCCAACCTAGAGTAAACAAAGATGTTATTCACGAGTTTCAAAATGTTGTTCAGACTTAACGTATGCATGTGCAAAGAATTTTCTGCTCAGTTACTGATACCAGCTCGGAAAATGCAGAATACCAAACAGTTGTCTCATATTTCTGGTTTAGGATTGTTCAACAGAAGGATATTACATGTGTCCAAACTGTTTTGTTCCAAAGTCTGATCTGGTTTCAATATACAGTTCCACACAACAGCAAACCCTATTGTACTGATGAAAGGAATGAAATGAATAGTAGGAAGTTTTAATTGCTAAACCCAATGATTGGTTTATAAATTTGTCTTGAAAACTCAGACAAAAAAACGTTGGGTGAGACTTTGAGTAGGTTGTATATCCCGTTTTCTAAATTCAGGCAGATTAATCATCCCACTTTTTTGGTAATTTTTGTACACCTATTCTCTCGAGCAGTGTTACGATGGTATGAGAAAAAAGCTTGAAAGTTAGATGTATAATTGCCATATTATTTTATGCTCTCTTACAAATAATTATGGGCTTTTACCGTTGTGCACATATACGTATACGTATATTCGGACACCTTTGTTTGAGGATTGTGGATCGAATCTTAATACTTTATTTCAGTTCAAGACGTTTTATATAATATAATATGTCTTGACATCATACCGGTCGTCTGTGCCTTGGCAGCGTGATCACTTTACTTGAAGATAAATTTAGAATGCATTGCATTACATTTATTCATTCGCCAAGGATTTGGCTACGTGCCACATTCCATGTATGGGGGCTGATGATAGCCCATCCTGGCCCTCAGACAGAAGTAGGCTTGGCAGGGTTCGGATTTGGAACTTAGTGTCTAGAAGTCGAAGGCCTTAACCGCTAGATCAGTCAGTCAGTCAGTTAGTCAGTAACAGCGTAGAACTTCGTACGTACATACATCAGTTCGAGTCGCCATATCACATTAGCGCAGAAATACAGTTGTTCATTCAAATCTCATAGTGGTAGAGGTATTAAAAGTATCAGCAGTAATCCGAACGATTAAGGTTTAAAGATGTTATTCAAGGAGTATAATCCAGTGAAATAAATTTGGAAAGAGAAAAAAGAAAGGGACATGAAGAATTCAGAAGATTAGAATTTGGGAGAACACAAAGAGTGGATACACCTGCGCCACTGCAAACGATTTTGAGCCATGTCATTCAAAGTCTCTAATCATCGGTTGCTATCATCTCGCGGTCCCCAACCAGCTAGTCTACACCTACCAATATGACTCAGTCTACTTGTCAGTGACTTCATGGACTTGTGCCATGTTTTGGTCTGGCCGCCCCTAGCTTTCTTCCAACCAACTCTAACACCATAAAACATCTCACGTCGGGGCAGTCGGTGGTTGGGCATACGTAACACGTGTCCCAGCTATCTCAACTGATGAAGTTCCATTACTTCATCAATTGATTTGCCATCCTTACCTAGTACCCGGTTCCTAACAACTGCATTACTTACTCGATGGTCCCAGGATATACGAGCAATATTTCGAAGGCACCTATGATCAAATACTAGTAACCGTTTTACGGAAAAATCAATATAGTGATCCTGCTTTATTATTATTATTAATGTATAAAACTTGTGTGTAAACTGTTTGATAAATAGTGACAATTTTACACTGAAATTATCATATATGCGTGACTATAGGAAAACAAAAGTGATGAACATTTCTGTCTATAATAAGTGTACAAAAATACATAAGTAGTATATAACGCTAGTCAGGAATAGAATGTCTCATAGCAGAAGCTCAAGCAGATCGAGTAGAAAGGATCAAGAACAGAAAGTAATTGGTATGAAAATGCGGAAACCATGAAGTCTGATATGATAAGAAAGGACAAAAGTCCTCTTGTGACAATCACACAGGAATCAGTTTAACTAATATAGTGTCTAAAACATTAGCTTCAATAATACTTCGACGCCTAGCCAAAGCTCGTGAAGAACAGACTAGAGAAAACCAGGCTGGTTTTCGACCTGGACGTGGTTGTATCGATCAGATATTCACACCACGTCACGTTCTAAAACATAGGCACACATTCAGACGCCCCACAATGGTAGTATTTCTTGATCTTAAGGCAACATTTGACTCTGTTGATTGTAAGGTTTTATGGCAGTGTTTGTCACTGAAAGGAGTACCAATGAAGTACATTAACTTTATAAAGGCTCTCTACTCGAACACAACTGGTAGAGTGAGAGCTTATGGCGAACTGTCATCAGAATTGATCACCTCAAGTGGTGTTCGTCAGGGCTGTCCACTCTCTCCATTCTTGTTCGACTTTGTCGTCGACGTACTTTTAGAGGTAACACTTTCCTCGTCTAGATTTCCAGTGGTTGAACTTCTACCGGGAGGTTCACTTGTTGACTTAAAATATGCTGATGACATAGTTTTATTTGGTGAAGACGCTGACAAAATGCAGAGTAATCTGACCACTCTAAGCAACAATGCAAGCATGTTTGGGATGCGATTCTCCCCCTCGAAATGCAAAACGTTGCTTCAGGATTAGGTTGCATTGACATCCGAACTAATGATAGAGAGTGAAGTAGTTGAGCCTGTCGACCGCTTCACTTATCTTGGAAGTCTCATCAGCCCTTGTGTTCTGGTGTGTGACGAAATCTCAGCACGGATACAGAAGGCTCGACTAGCTTTTGCCAACTTACGTCATTTATGGCGTAGGCGAGATATCCGTCTATCAACCAAAGAACGTGTTTACTGCGCAGCAGTTCGTTCCGTCCTACTTTATGGCAGTGAAACATGGCCGGTAAGAGTAGAGGATATTCGTAGGTTACCAGTATTTGATCATAGGTGCCTTCGAAATATTGCTCGTATATCCTGGGACCATCGAGTAAGTAATGCAGTTGTTAGGAACCGGGTACTAGGTAAGGATGGCAAATCAATTGATGAAGTAATGGAACTTCATCAGTTGAGATAGCTGGGACACGTGTTACGTATGCCCAACCACCGACTGCCCCGACGTGAGATGTTTTATGGTGTTAGAGTTGGTTGGAAGAAAGCTAGGGGCGGCCAGACCAAAACATGGCACAAGTCCATGAAGTCACTGACAAGTAGACTGAGTCATATTGGTAGGTGTAGACTAGCTGGTTGGGGACCGCGAGATGATAGCAACCGATGATTAGAGACTTTGAATGACATGGCTCAAAATCGTTTGCAGTGGCGCAGGTGTATCCACTCTTTGTGTTCTCCCAAATTCTAATCTTCTGAATTCTTCATGTCCCTTTCTTTTTTCTCTTTCCAAATTTATTTCACTGGATTATACACCTTGAATAACGTCTTCAAACCCTAATTTTTCTGATTACAGCTTACAATTTTACTACATCTAGCACTATGGGATTTGAATCGACCACTGCATCTCTGGAGGACAACCGGAAAGGCATCAAAGAAACATTGACTTCAACGTGTCAAGAGGTTCTGGGCCTAAAGAAACACTATCATAAGGAATGGATCTCTATGGAAACACTGGACAATATCAAAGAAAGGAAGAACAAGAAGGCAGCAATAAACAACAGCCGAACACGAGCAGAGAAAGTACAAGCACAAGCTGAATACATAGAAGCAAACAAACAAGTGAAGAGGAGCATTAGAGCCGACAAGAAGAAATACGTGGAAGAATTAGCAGCGACGGCGGAAAAAGCTGCTAGAGAAGGAAATATGAAACAGCTTCACGATACACCGAAGAAACTATCAGGGAAATACAGTAAACCAGAGAGGCCGGTCAAAGACAAAGAAGGCAAGCTAATCACCGAAATTCAACAACAGCGTAACAGATGGGTAGAATACTTCGAGGAACTCCTGAATAGGCCGGCTCCAATGAATCCACCGGACATCGAAGCAGCACACATAGATCTTCCTATAGATGTCAACCCACCAACGACGGAAGAAGTCAGAATGGCCGTCAGACAAATCAAGAACGGGAAAGCAGCAGGACCCGACAACATACCAGCTGAAGCACTGAAATCAGACATCGAAACAACCACAAGCATGCTTTATCTTCTATTCAAAAGGATTTGGGAGGAGGAACAGATGCCGACCGACTGGAAAGAAGGACACCTCGTCAAGATTCCAAAGAAAGGAGATCTGGGCAAATGTGAAAACTACAGAGGCATTACACTACTGTCAATACCAGGGAAAGTCTTCAACAGAGTTTTGCTGAACCGGATGAAAGACACAGTAGACGCCCAACTTCGAGATCAACAAGCTGGATTCTGCAAGGATCGGTCGTGCACAG